GAACTGGTGGCCTGGCACAGACACCGAACTGGCGACCTAGCATAGGTGCCGACCTGGCGACCTGCGAGACGTGCTCTCCGAAAAATTCAGCATGCATATCCTAACACTCCTACGATCCTTGGAAGTTGGCCCACGTGCTGAACGATCCAAAGGGTGGTCAATGTGCATGGCGGTTGCCTCAGGGAATCTCAGACCACTTAGACGAATTCTTGGAAATCTCGGATGCAGTGAGTGAAGTCCATGCCAAACCTATATAAAGGCACCAACCCCAATGGTATAGGGGGCAAGTAAGCATATTCTAGCTCTCATACTTTGTGATTTGCTTGCAGTCTACTATGAGAGTACTGACTTAAGCATCGAAGCGACCTCGCCGGGTTAGCCACCCCGGGTCCTCTGACATTGGTTCCTCGCAGGTCCCTAAAGAACTACGAATCTCAACAATCAATCCAGCTCGCCACCATCTAGCTTGGCACCTACTAGGTAGCTCGACACTCTGGTCAGCTCGGCAGCTACTAGGCAGCTCGACACCTAATAGGCAGCTCGGCCCTCTAGTCAGCTCGTCACCTAATAGTCAGGTCGGYCCTCTGGTTAGCTCAGCAACTAATAGGCAGCTCGATCCTCTGGTCAGCTCGACACCTAACCTGCCTAGCTCTGCCCAGTCAGCTCGTCACCTAACCTGCCTAGCTCGGCCCAATCAGTTCGGCACCTAACCTGCCCATCTCGGCCCAGTTAACTCGGCACCTAATCTGCCCCCAACTCGACCTGGTCAGCTCGACATCCAGCAAAAGTTCACTTCGGCCTCTGAGTCATTGACCACTTGGAAGCAGACCAAATGACGAGTTACTTAGCACAAAAAATTGATACATCACCAAAAATTGATTCATCAATATCCATGGTTAAGTCGTTCGATTTTGGTCAGTTTACAAATGGCCAAAGTGAAACTGATCCAACTTGGTCGAATTGAGAAATTTTTGAACCAAAACCAACCTAAAATACTAGAAAACCAACCAACTTGGGTTGACTTAATTGGGTTGGCCGGTTTCATTAGTTTGATGATTAAACCTAACTGAAATTAATTATTGTTATTTTTGTATTATAAAAGTTTTATTAAAGATAGTATATAAAATATGAATAATTATTAATTATTTAAAAATTGAAAATATAAAACAATACTCTTTTGTGTTTCTATTAGGGTCATTTACTAAAATGCACATTTAGAGATGGCAATTTTCCCCATCCCCGACGAGGACCCGACTTCCCCGACTCGATGGGGCCGGGGGTGCGGATTGTTTTGGTAGGCCTGAGGGTGGGGACAGGGATTAATAGGAATCCCTGGTCGGAGTCGGGGATGGGGATTGAAGTCCCCACCCTGCTCCGACCCCGATTATATCTATCTATCTATACATCTATCTATCTATCCATGCCCTGTTGCCATTCCTACACACCGTATAATTTTACATATCTACTTAAACCTACTAGTTTTCATTTTACTAAAACATCCCATATATTTTACAACTTATTTACTTAACCAACCATTCATTACGAAATGTTTGTTTTGCCACTAAACACATGATTTTTAATTCCAAAAATACCTTTAACACACTTTTTTGTRTAAAAAACAAAATTGACCAAAAATAACCAACAAAGTAGTTACCCGTGTCTTATTAAGGACAAAAATGATATTTTTATTTTTATTTTCTTTTRATTAAATTTATTTAAATGAACATTAAGATCAACACTATCATTTAATAGAATATTGATTAAATTCATTACAAATTATAAGTGGTGTTTTAGTAAAATGCTAACTATAGGATAGATTTTAGTAAATTCATGAAACTATAAGGGGTATTTTAATAAATGATCCTTTCTATTATTTAGCTTTCGCTTGATAAATCCTGTACATCGCACGAGTCCCCACTAGTTTGTTTATGAAAAGTAAATTAGGAAGCAAAATAAAATAACCACCACTTCAAATGAATGAGACAATATGATGTGGTCTCCATTTTATGTGAGAATGAATTGAGATAAGAGATTAGGAGGAAGTTGGTACCTTTTTTGCATCATTTTTTGGATGCAAAATTTGCACTACTAGTAACTGCAAAAGAGACTAAAAGCACAAATTTTGTATCAAGTTGGAAAGCAAATCATGATTGAAAAAAAAAAAAATCAAAATCGAACCTGGATACAGGCYGATACGCTGGTAGGGCATATTAGCCTGTATTGGTGCTTTTTTGTGTTTTATTTTTTATTTTTTTAAAAACAGTTCAGAAGGATCCATTTAAGTCCTGATTATCCTTTGAACCATGGCCTGACCTGATACGCCCCTACAAAGAATGTATCGGGAAGGCCCCAATACGTTACGATATTTTTAACCTTTTTGCATCTGATCAAGATTTTCACTGCAACCGAATGCAGCCTAAGATACAAAACCAAAAATGAAACAAATTGAAAGAAGAGAATAAAGCTTCTCTTTCTTATTTCAATCTTTACCTGAATTCTAATCCATTGTGCCTTAATAAGCCTGCCATTGTCCTTTTTTTGGTCAAAGCAATGCAATCTATTGGATGTTAAAATTGATAAATGGTGTTACATCAGATAATCAAAGTCGTATTTGAGTAAAAGAAATTGTACATCATGAAACTGCAGAAAGAACCCAAATTAATTGATGATGCAATAAGATGCATGTTAATTAGATAGACGTTTTCTTATCCCAATTAGCTAATTTTAAATGAATGGATTTGTTAGTTTGAATATTATACCAAGGAAGAGTCTTCTAGAAGTTTGATAATGAAACTCTTTGCACAAGCATCCAATCTCCAATCTCTCTCTCTCTGAAAGCACCCAGTTAATGATAAAAGAGGGCTTAGATTGTAATGAAACTAGGGTCTGAAGAGGTCCATGTATGTTCAGTTCCAGGCCCTATTATTGTGGAGTCCAAGTGTCCAACATTGGATCCTGGTCCAGAATCCAGATATGAATATATGATATTTGATATGGGTTCCGACCTGGCCTACCAAATTGGCAATATCTTCTAGAACACAACAAGCTAATGAACCTCAATGGTCAATGCAATAAAAAATATGGAAAATTTTGAAGATCTTCCTGCAACATTCTTCAACATCTCTAGATTTTATGTTAAGCTTAATTACATGTTAACAAACGAGAAAAAAATAACATAATGCCTAATAAAAGTTGAAGAATAAGCGGTTACCATCAGCATCAACTGATCAAATGATGCTCGACTTCCCAAGAGAGGCTGCTGCTTCTTTCCCTTTTCATTTCTTTCTCTTTAGAAGCAGCTGCTCAAAAGCTAGATGAACGAGGATTTGCTATTGTGGGCTAGGTAGCCATATTGACATTCAGACGCTGAACTCAGATTCATTCGACCCACTCATTTAATGTTTCGAGATACTGATGTTCAGAACAGACGGTGAACTTGACCCATCCCTTCTTCTCAATATACTTGAGACCAGGCTGCATGGCACATCCAACCAGAAAAGCAATCAGGCATATAGCCATGGTCCTAAGAGAGGCAAGAGCTAAACCCAAACAGATTAATATAGTTGGAGGAGTACACAACATTACGGCTCCTGCAGTACCTAATGGTGCCTTAAATGGCCGTGAGGCTGCTGGGTGTTTTATCCTTAACTTCACAAATGCTATGAACTCCAAAATCATCCCAAAACAATATAGATAATTCTCTGTAATTATGATCTCTTCAAAGCTCAACCATGAGAGTAGAATCGCACCAGAGGCAGACAACAAGGTACCAAGTAAAGAGGTTCCAGAACGAGACCTTCTGCCGAATAACTCAGGAAGCATCCCACGCTCTGCCATCCCTAGAAGCTGGAAATAACTACTGCTCATAACGGCCACATACATTCCCATACTGGAAAGTGCAGTAGCACATTGGACCCACAATCTCAACCAGATCCCACCTACCCTTTTGGCAATGTCTGAGAAATAGCCATCAGTCCAGGAATCACGACAGAGTGGAATAGCTCCGGTGCCAATTAGAAGAGGGAAGAAGTAGCCAAACACAACCAAGATAAGAGCATAAAAGAGAGCCTTGGGCAGAGCTCTACTTGGGTTGTCAACTTCTCCTGTGAGAGTACTAATTGAATCCCAATAGTTCATATTCCAAAACAGAGTATTCAAGTAGAGATGCCAATCCACATTGTGCAAGTCTACCACTAGCCATCTTGAGGGCTTCAGCTTTGGGATGGCAATGAATCCCATAACCAGAAAAGGGAGAAGAGAGAAAATCCCCAAAAAGATGGCCATCCAGCCTAATATTGTTAGACCCCTGTAGTTCATGTATGTGAGAATCAAATTCAAGAACAACACTGCTAGAATCCTAGGCCAACCCCCAGATAAAACCGGAAGAGCTGATTCAAGATAGTCTATGAACAGAACTGGGTACAGAGCATTGTCAATTACCTCACTCAGCCATTTTATCCAACCTTGCTGGAAACCCCAGAAGGGCCCCAATGCTGCTGAAACCCAAACTACAAAACCTCCATTCTCTGGAAACATGGTGCCCATCTCTGCAGTGATTAGAGCCTCAGGAATACTCCAAATAAATGGAAAAATCAGAAACCCAATCAGGGCTAGAAGGGGACCAGCCGCATGAACACTGTCCTCAACACCAAACGGGCCTCCTGATACCTCATAAAAGATGAGAAACACAAGAGGTAAAACTGAAACCTTCTTCAAGTTATCCAAATTGGGATCAGATCCCTGACCAATATTCACGTACTCTACATCATTGTACTCTGCCATTGCAATAGAAGTCTGTGTGTTCACTTTAGTCTTCAATTTCTGCACACAAGAGTAAACCTTAGAATATCCCTTCTTTATAATTTTCTCTATAAACCATATAAAAGCTTAGTTAAATCACGAAATAAAAGTTCATTATTTGCCCAACTCTTTTAGAGCAAAAAACAAACAAGTTGACCCTGTGATACCTTGAGACCACATTGTTTCCACAATGTCCACAGTGTCCTCTTGTCTCCAGTCTATTTAGGATGAAACCAACGTTAAAGGAAGCAATCTTTCGGTGGTGCAGAGAAGAAAACCACAGAAGAGAGAGTTTCTGTTTCTGAATACCTGTTACCAGTCGAGTAACTCTCCAGAGTGGGTAGTGGGTATCAGGTGAAGACGAAGCAAGAGGTGGAGATTGGCGTGTCTGTGTTGTCATCGACACGTTGATCTGATGAGTCTTGGAAGAGGACACCTCCATCAACACGTGCACAGCCGATGGGTAGTATCCTGGTTGGGAGAACAGCTCTCTTCCACCAAACCTGGAGACGAGCAAAAGAGAGATCATTGCATTGCTCGAGGACCCACAAAAACTAAACTCGTCATTTAGTTTGTTTCCAAGTGGCGGATGACTTAGAGTGAAAGTGAATTTTTGTTGGATGAGGATTTGGATGTCGAATTGACCAGGTCGAGCTAGGGGTAGATTAGGTGCCGAGTTAACTGGGCCGAACTGGGCAGATTAAGTGCCAAGTTAACTGGGCCGAATTGGGCAGGTTAGGTGCCGAACTGACTGGGCCGAGCTAGGCAAGTTAGGTGACGAGCTGACTGGGCCGAGCTAGGCAGGTTAGGTGATGAGTTGACCAGAGTGCCGAGCTGCCTATTAGGTGTTGAGCTGACCAGAGTGTCGAGCTACCTATTAGTTGCCGAGCTGACCAGAGGGCCGAGCTGCCTGGTGACGAGCTGGATTGATTGTTGAGCTTCGTAATTCTTTAGAGACCTGCAAGGAATCAATGTCAGAGGACCCGGGTTGGCTAACCCGATGAGGTCGCTCCAATGCTTAAGTCAGTACTCTCATAGTAGGCTGCGAGCTAAAAATCACAAAGTATGAGAGCTAGAATATGCTTACTTGCCCCCCCCCTATGCCATTGGGGTTGGTGCCTTTATATAGGCATTGTTTGGCATGGGCTTCACRCACCGCATCCGAGATTTCCGAGAAGTTGTCTAAGTGGTATGAGATTCCCTGAGGCAACCGCCATGCACGTTGACCACCCTCCGGATCGTTTGGCACATGGGCCAACTTCCAAGGATCGTAGGAGTGTTAGGATATGCATGCCGAATTTGTCAACGAGCATGTCTCGCAGGTCGCCAGGTCGCCAGTTCGGCGCCTGTGCCAGGCCGCCAATTCGCGCCTAGGCCAGGCCGCCAGGTGGGACACCATCAACTTGGCTAAGGCAAGTTGTTGCCTAAGTGGTTCCGGGTGTCACCTAGTTGTTCCGAGGTGCCATGTGTCACAATATCATTAGAGGGCCAAATCCGCCCTCATCATTTGCCCCCCACTCCTGAGCTGAAAGTAACTCGGCGAAGGGAGTAGATTGCTCCTTTTGGCTTGAAATGACTAATTCGATGAGCTCATAAGCGTTGATTCAATTCCTTAGGCTCTGGGAGCGACTCACAGTCTACTCTCCTTACCCTTGATTTTGCCCATGCCAAAGAGGCGACTGGGTCTTATGTGGTGCCGAGACACTTTAGCCCTTAGGCTCTGGGAGCGACTCGTAGTCCACTCTCCTTGATCTTTGATTTTGCCCATGCCGAAGAGGCAATTGGGTCTTATGTGGTGCCGAGGTCTTTTATTAGCTTGACACCTTAGAGCTACGGCTGCGCTGCATCAACCTCGTTAGTGACATCGGTTACCCACTCCTACAAGAAGCTACTAGGAGCTTGACCTACGGGGGCAACTCTACTGACTTTAGGTCACCAGCTCGCACGGGAGCCTTGGAAGGCTCGACCGGTAGGGGCGTCCATGCAGTCTGTTGGCCACCTACTCCCGCGGAAGTCATGAAGATTGTAGAGGGTACCTCGCGAAGAGGACTGTTGAGGCTTTATCCGAGTTGAAATAAAGTTGGTAAAGCTRCTTAGTCTGTTGGCCATCAACTTCCCGCATAGTCTTTGATTTCATAAAAAATAGAAACTATAAAGTGAGAGCTTTTAGTTTCTAAAAGGTGAGAAATTAGCTTTCTGGAAGAAGAGGACTTGGCCTTTTGGAGGATGAGAACTTAGCTTTTTGTAGCGTTTCCCACAGACGGCGTCAATTGATGAATCAATTTTTGGTGATGTATCAATTTTTTTGTGCTAAGTACCTCGTCATTTGGTATGCTTTCAAGTGGTCGATGACTCAGAGGCCGAAGTGAACTTTTGCTAGATGAGGACTTGGATGCCGAGTTGGGCTGAGCTAGGCAGGTTAGGTGACGAGCTGACCAGAGTRYCGAGCTGCCTATTAGTTGCCGAGCTTACCAGAGGGCCGAGCTGCCTGGTGGTGAGCTGGATTGATTGTTGAGCTTCATAGTTCTTTAGAGACCTGCAAGGAATCAATGTCAGAGGACCCAGGTTGGCTAACCCAGCGAGGTCACTCCGATGTTTAAGTTAGTACTCTCATAGTAGACTGCGAGCTAAAAATCACAAAGTATGAGAGCTAGAATATGCTTACTTGCCCCCCCTATGCCATTGGGGTTGGTGCCTTTATATAGGCATTGCTTGGCGTGGGCTTCACGCATCGCATCCGAGATTTCCGAGAAGTCGTCTAAGTGGTCYGAGATTCCCTGAGGTAATCGCCATGCATGTTGATTACCCTCCGGATCGTTCGGCACATGAGCCATCTTCCAAGGATCATAGGAGTGTTAGGACATGCATGCCGAATTTGTCGGCAAGCACATCTCGCAGGTCGCCAGGTCGACGCCTAGGCCAGGTCGCTAGGTGGGACACTATCAACTTGGCTAAGGCAAGTTATTACCTAAGTGGTTTCGGGTATCACCTAGTTATTCCGATGTACCATGTGTCACAATATCATTGGAGGGTCAAATCCGCCCTCATCAAGGACCCACAAAAGCAACTATAAAATAAGACCAGTGATTTGTTAGAAATAACTGTACAAGTCATCAAATCAAAGATGAAAAAGAGAGCTTTTGGGTGATAAGTATCCAAGGGTAATAGCCTTCTCTCCACCTGAAATTCTACTTTCTACCACCTTGACTCTCGGCCACGCCGCCCAACAATTACGACACCAAATCTATCAAGTAAACAGAAGAGGTTTTTCTGACAGTGGTCTCGTATTCGTTTAATGGTTCCCAGAACTTTCCAGGGTTCCTTCTATGGCGCCTCTATATTTACCTCTCTTTTCTTAGTAGCAACAGCACAATATAAGCTCTCAGCTATGAGTTTCCTCTACGCAGACACGCTTGTGTTGCTTCTACTTCTGTCTCTCAGCTATTACTGTTTCCTGGGCTGTTAAGGATGTATTGGAAAAGGAAAGAGCAGCTCTGCTACAAATAAGGACTCCATAAACTACCCAGATGGTTCTGCATTCCCTGGCTGGTTGGGAGAGGATTGCTGCCAATGGGAAGGGGTTGAATGTAACGTGTCTACATCTCGTGTCATTAAAATCTCCATTCGCAATAAAAGGGGCGATCAAGGACCAAACAATCTGGAGCATGAGCCAGAGAATTTATGGTATCCAAATGGAACTGTCTTCGCCCAATTTATGGAATTGCAAGAATTGACTCTGCAAGGAATTCAGATTGGTGGGTTTGTCAATCCACAAGGTAACGTTCTTATTTCTGCAATTGCTTACTATTCCTGTCCTTCTGCTGGAATTAGTCGATGAATTGAAAATAAATTGAAAACAATTGCAAATATTAGATGAAATTGTTGCATTTGAATTTAGGCATAGCTAAATGTCCTTTTTTCGGTTCGATGAGGCTAAGCCGATGGGTCTCAATCCTGAAAGTATTTGAGTCTAGTGCCTCCACTATTGAAGCTTCTATTAAGACTTCCACACCATCTTAGAGATTCCTAGGTAGCCCTATATCTCTACCTTTCCCTTGGAGGATTATCGGATCAGGAAAATATGATCTGCATATCTAATCGAATTTGAATCAGCACTATTAAACTATCTATCTATTTTATATTATACTATATTAATAGCGGGCACTCGTCCCAATGCATGAGATTTATTAAGCTAAAACTAAATAATAGAAATGGTCATTTATTAAAATACCCGTTATAGTTTCATAGATTTATTAAAATCTACCATATAGTTAAAGTTTTACTAAAACACCACTTATAATTTGCAATAGATTTAATCAATATTATATTAGATGACAGTGGAAAATGACAATATTGACTCTAATGTTCATTTAAATAAATTTAATCAAAAGAAAATAAAAATAAAAATACCATTTTTACCCTTTATAAGACACGGGCAACCACTTTATTGGCTATATTTGGTTAATTTTGTTTTCTGTACAAAAGAAAAGTGTTAATGGTATTTTTGGAATAAAAAATCATAGGCCAAATGGTATTATGGGATGTTTTAATAAAATGAAAACTATAAGGTAGGTTTAAGTAAATATGTAAAACTATAAGATGTGTTCTAGTAAATGACCCTGATAGAATCAAATGAGAGTATACAATTGTTTTATATTTCCAAAATTTTAAATAATTAATAATTATTCATATTTTATATACTACTTTTAATATTTTTTTTTGTAATACAGAAATAACAATAATTAATTTTAGTTAGGTTTATTCATCAAACTGATGAAACCGACCAACCCAATCAACTCGACTTGAGTTGGTCGGTTTTCTAGTATTTTAGGTTGGCTTTGGTTAAAAAATTTCCCAATTCGACCAAGTTTGATCAATTTTACTTTGGCCATTTGTAAACCAACCAAAATCGAATGACCTAACCATGGTATATATATATATATTATTTTATATTTTAAATATAATTTTCAATATGGAAAAGTGGGAAATTTCCTATATTTCTTAGTCTAAAATGTTTTATATCATAAATTTAATTTTTAATAATTATACTATAATTTTTAAAATTTAATTTAATTTTTATGTTTAAATCTTTTGAACCGACTAACCAAACCAAAAAATTGACCCAAACCGATAAAACTTGAGTGGGTCAGTTTTCACAAAAGGTCAGTCGGTTTCAACTGACCAACTCCCCAACCTAACCAGGTCAATTTGGTAGGCCAAATAGCCTACGACCGAACTGAATCAACTCATGAACACTAATAATTTCAGCTAAATTAATAGTCTCATCTCTCATAAATAACAATAGTTCAATCTTCAATATTTATTGAAAATTTATAACAAAAATACACAATTATTGAAAATATATTGATAGTGAAAAAATATAATAAGTACTAAAAATATATTAATTTAGTCAATAAATAGTATAATTTCAAATAA